TGTGTGTGTGTGTGTGTGTGTGTGTGTGTGTGTGTGTGGTTGTTTGTTTTTGTCAGTATCTTGCTGTTTTGAATGCTATAACTGTGATACATTTTGAGATCAGGTAGGATAATGGGTCCAACTGTGTTCTTTTTGCTTAAGATTGCTTTGGCTAGGGTTAGGGGATGTGGTTCAATTGGTAGAATACTTGCCTAGCATGCACAGGCTCTGGGTTTAATCTTTAGCACTACATAAACCAGATGTGGTGGCTCACACCTGTAATTCTAGCACATAGGAGGTGGAGGCAGGCAGATCTGAAGTTCAAGGTAATTTCAACTGCATAGTGAGTTCAAGGCCAGCCTGGGCTACATAAAATCTTATCTCAAAAAAGAAAGGAAGGGAGGGAAGGAAGGGGGCGGGAGAAAAGATTGTTTTGGTTATTTGAATATTTTGTGGATTCATATGAATTTTAGGCTTTTATTCTATTTCTGCAAAAATTTCTTTGGAATTTTGCTAAGGATTGTACTGTCTGTAGATCACCTGGGGTAGTTTGGACATTTTAACTTTTCTAATCCATGAACATGGGATACCTTTCTATTTATACCTTCAATTTCTTTCATTAATATATTTCAGTATATTGTTCTTCAACTTCCTTTCTTAAATTATTTATGAGTTTATTTTTTGTGGCTATTGTAAATGGGATTTCATTGATTTTGTGTTTTGAATACTCTATTACTAGTATATACTGCCAATTTTGCACATTAATTCTGTATCTATCAACTTTCCTGAATTTATTAGTTATAACAAACTTTTTTTAGGAGGAACAATCCCTGAGGTTTTTTTAATGTATAAAATTGTATCATCTGCAAATAGAGACAATTAAATTTCTTCTTTTCTGAGTTGGATGCCTTTGTTTTCTTGTCTAATTGTTCTAACTAGAACATCTAGTACCGTGCCAAATAGTGGAGCAAGAAGAGCATCCTTGTCTTGTTTCTGGTCCTAGAAGGAAGCTTCAATATTTTTAAATTGAGTCATCTTTTTGTTTTTCTAGATTTATTATTTATTTAATGTATGTGTGTGTGCCTGCAAGAGTTCATGTGCATCACATGAGTGCAGGTGCCCCTGGGGCATCAGATCCCTGGAACTGGAGTTACAGGTGGTTGTAAGCTGTTATTTGTGGGTGTTGGGAACTGAACCTTGGTCCTCTGCAAAAGCAGTACATGCTTTAAACCACTGAGCCATCTCTCTGGCCTCCTGAATCTCCTTTCTCTTGGTCTAGGCTAAAGGTTTATGGACTTATTATTTCAGAAACCCACCTCTTGTTTTTTCAGTCTCTATTGTATTTATTTCTGAGCTGATCTTTATTATTTCCTACCTACTACAAAATTTGGATTTAGTTCATTCTTGGTTGTCTGGGATGAGAGAGTAGGTGGCTGATTTGGGATCTTCTTTTTTTCTGTATGCATTTGTGGCTACCTGCTGCTTCTGTTTCATCCCACTAGTTTTAGTATGTTGTTTCCATTTTCACATGTCTAACGGTATTGTTCCATTTTTCTTTTAATTTCTTCTTTGACCCACTGGCTGCTCAGGGGTAATGTAGCTTTAAGAACTTTTTCAGTATTACTTTGCTTACTCTTCACTCAATTTTACAAAGTAGAATTTTCTTTTGTTTTTGAATGTTTAATTTGGTTTTTGGAGACAGGGTTTCCCTGTAGCCACAGCTGGCCTAGAACTGACTATGTAGACCAGGCTGGCCTCAATCTCATAGAGATCCACCCACTTGCCTCTGCTTCCCAAGTGCTGGGACTAAGGGTATACACCACCATACTCAGTTGTCTGTTTTTTGAGACACGGTTTCATGCAGCTTAGGTTATGGAGCTGCTGAGGGTGACTTTGAACTCCTGATCCTCCTACCTCTACTTCCAATCTGGCATTACATGTGGGTACCACCATGCCTGGCCAAAGTAGTTGTTATCATCATTTATAGACAAGGAAACTGAGACTTACCTGCCCAAAGTCACATTCAATAAATCTGGCTCCAGAGTTGAAGCATTAAACAGTTCTATCCAACATACAGCTCATCAAAAATCCACCAGCAACCTTGAGAGGAGGCTCTGCTACCAACCCATTTCCAGATGAGAAAGTCAAGTCTCAGAGAGACGGGCATAGTTTGTGAAGAAGGTCAGGCTCAAATCCTGTTCTGTCTGCCTCCCAGGCTCCATGCTGTTGAGACAGAACTATCCCAGTGCCTCTATATGTGTTCCCCCCATTCTTACCATCTGGAAGTTTCTCTTCCTCCTTCCCTCATATTGGATTTGAAATCCATTTATCCCAAGGCAGATCGAAGGATAAATGTAAATGCACCCTTCTTTCACAAAGCTTCCTGACCTCAGCCAGAAGAGAGGGTGTCCTCAGAATTCCACAGACCAAGGGAAGCACCCAGAGGGGCACGTCCCCTCCTTCCCACTCCCTCAGAACAGACCCAGCTGCCTCCTCTTTCCCCGTTTCCTGTTTTTGCTAACTGGCCTCACCTCTGTGTCACACATTGTCACCCTGTCTAAACTACTCTCAGCCTGACTCTTGAGCTCATTTTCTTTGGTTACTTTTTTAACTGTTTGTTGAATTTCTCTTAGGTTTATGTCAGGCCTGAACTAGGATCTTTAATAAAATGCATGGCTTCATCCAGCCTGGAGATAGAGATTGTTACAGAGAAGAAAACCAAGGCATGGAGAGGGACAGTGAATTCCTAACATCACACAGTATGTGGAAGACCAGGGGCTGGACCAGGGCTGGCACCTGGAGTCTGAGGTTTTCCTCCTGTCTGATGACTACAGCCCACAGGGAGCACTAAGGAGCGAGTGAAGCACCAAGGATCCAGTGAAAACACAAACATTTTTTTCTTGGGGAAGATCAGGAAAGGCACCTCAAGAGAGGCCATGGAGTCTGGGTCGTTTAGCTAAGTAGGCATGCAGGAAGAGGGATGGTGCTGAGGAAGGGCAGGAGGTGCTCCTTGGAATGCGATTATGGAAAGGATGGGAGGCAGCACCACTGGTCAAAGGGAGCTAGATCCTGGACACCTTGAACATCAAGAACTTGACACTGACCCCATGATGGGTCAAGTGACTGAGTGTTGGACATCCAAACCAGCTCTGTCAGGGTCCAGTACTCATGTGTGGCTTAGCAATTTGGTGACCCCAGGAGATATGAGAGAAAAGCTGGCATTCCATCCTCCCACGGTGGTCTAGAGACCCAGGTGCCCTGTACCTGTACTGTGGCAACCCCAAGGTGGGGGAGCCCAGCATGGAAGTGGGGGCCTTCTACTTTGCACACTAAACCCCATTTCCCAGGGCAGGTGAGCATCAGCGAAGCTGAAGCAGCATTAGCACTGCAAACGAAGGAACGACGGCAACACAGAGTACTGGGGTCTGGTTTATTGAGAGTTGCATGGATGGCCCCCAAGCAGGGCTTCCCCCCCACCCTCGACAGTGTAGGTTGAGCTGCTGGGAGTGGAAGAGTCTTGGGACCCTGTTTCCAGCAGCAGAGAGGGCTCCATGCAGGCTGAGGAGAAAGGACACCAACCTAGCATCCAGTACAGGCAGCGTAGGCACAGATCTCACATGTGTTTGGATCCTGAGCGATGGCCTCTGGTCAGAAGAGATGGGGCCTGGTGAGAGCCAGTTCCCCTCCCTCAGAGCCCCTGCCTCTCTTCAAGTAGAGCTTGGACATCTGTCACCAGCCCCCAGGAGGATCTCAGAAGACCCATCCTCTCTGACCCAGTGGGCTTTCTGTCTCAAACAGGGCACTTGAACCACTAAAGCCAGCCAATCAGAGTGCAGTTTCTCCCCCGAAAGGAAATGGCGTTATGATCAGAAGATGGACCTGGTGCTCCTGACAACCCACCCCTCTGAATGCAGGCCTTTCTAAAAAGCCTCAGGAGCTATCTCTTAGAAAAAATTAAAGAAGTGGTATAAACAGCCTCACCAATCAGAGTGCAGCTCCTCCTCAGTAGCCACCAATCAGAGAAGGTGACTCACCCAGCCTCTTTAAGATCTCCTCGGCATTGGGTTCCTTGCAGAGGGGTCTCAGAGCTTCTGGAAATGCCTGGTAGCTGCAGACTGTCGGGGCTCTAGCCTCACGAAGCAGGGGCGCAAATTTCTTGTGACTTGCCAGCCTGGACTCTGGGGCCTCCTGGAGGTCCTTAAGCTGCTTCACTGACTCCAGAGGAAAGGAAAGGTCTCCATCCTGAAAGAGACAGCCTGAGCATGAGGCCAGGCTGCAGCTCCAGCCTGGGTACTGCCAAGGCAGGGCGAGGTCAGACACTGGGTATGAGATCTGAAGTTTTGCGGGTGATCATATGAGAAGCTTGGAAGCAGCTGTGGAGCCCCAGGACACAGCAGGTGCCTCAAGAGGATGAGCTGGTGTCCTGATTTGGAGGGACAGGTGTAAAGGCCAGGCCCTTGGCCTGCTGGCCCAGGCTGTCTTCCCCAGCTCGAGGGACCCCAAAGAAAAGTAGCCAGTTTCTTGGCTAAAAGTCAAAATGTCCTTGGGCTTGTTAGCATTCCAAAGGCCAAAAATGTCAAAAGTATTTGGGAACTTGTATCTAATCCTTAAAAGATTTTAGGGTTACCTCTTCAGAGGAGGGAATGTTAGAGTAGCAAAAAGCCCCATAAAAATAAATAAATGAAAGAAGAGAAAAAAAAGAAAAAGAAAAAAGTGATGGGGAGATATGGGAGGTGTTGGAAGGGAGTGTGGGCATGGATTTGATCAAAACACCTTATATACATGTATGAAATTCTCAATAAAGTTTTTGTAAAAGTTAAAAAAAAAAGTTATAAAAGGCTCCCAGGGGCCTTTCCCAGGACACTGCTTGCTGGCAACCTGGCTTGTGTCTGGCGACACCTCAACCATCTGGGGCTCTAGGAAGTGCAGCTGATGCCTGGAACCCAGACTGGTACTGTGTCTGAGCATAGGATGGAGGAGCCAAGGCTAGATTCAAGTCTATCCCCTTCCCTTCCCAGCCACAGGCTGGGGCTGCTGCAGAACCTCTGAGAGGCTTCCATTTCTTCTCGGTGAAATGGAACCAACCACCCCTCCTCCCTGGGTGTTTGTGGGCCACAGTGGGCCCTCTATCACTGCCTTTCCCTGCCATTATTTCTTGCTGTTTGGGTTTTTTCTCTCTGGGTTTGAAGGGAACTGTGTGTGAGGCTGTTAGGGCTGGGGAGGGAAAGCCAAGGAAGCCCATCCCTCAAAACACTCCTCAATCCAGTTCTGCTTTTGAGGGCCAGGCCCAAGGATAGGCCAGAGCAGGTAGGGATGGAGACATACCTGCACAGTGACCCCCTCTGCCAGGATGGCCAAGGCACCCAGGAGGCACAGCATGGAAAGCAGGCAGGTGTTCATGGCAGCAGTGCACAACTCACAGGACCAGCTGGTGCTCAACGTTGGGGGCGGGGATAAACAGTGGGGCTTTTAAAGAGGCTGGGGTTACTCAGTAACCTCGGGGCCTTGTCAGCCTCATCTGCTGCCTGTGAGCCTCATCAGATAAGGCCAAGGCAGTCGGGGAGATAAGAGATCAGCAGAGCCTGGCAGAGTCCCAGCCCCGCCCTGGGCACTACTTTGACCCACAGCCAGGTTGGGTTCTGCATTCATTCTGGGCCCAGCCCTGCAGACCCAGCCCTGCCCTTGAAGAGGCCCAGAAAGGTGATGGTGATGACAATGACAACAGAGAGAGGGCCATTAGGGTGGGGGCAGGGCAGCATGGAGGAAGCATTTCCCACCAGGGGAGGCTAGGACACAAACCTACAACAGACAGAGCTGCAGACCTGGACAGGTCCAGGCTTGTTCTCTGTCTCCGCTCTCTACTCTCCGGTCTCTGTTCAAATCCTACCCCTTGCCTTTCTTGACAGGTCACGTGGGCAGATGCTTCCCCCTCCAAGTTTCATTGTCCCCAGGTTCTGTGGAGACCAATTCGAGTACCTCCCTCCTTGGCAGGTGCCCTCGTGCTGTGTCTGTGAGATTTCCAAGTGTTTCATGCAGCCCACAGGGAGCCCTTAGTGAAGGACACACTTACCTTACTCCTGCTCCTGGTCCCCACTGCCTCCTCTGATAGCCACCTACCTATCTATCCCAGCCACAGCCTGTCCTCAGCCATCCTAAGCTAGGCTGGATTTCCCTCCCCTGGCTGTGGGGTTGTGTGCAAATACTTGTGTATACTGAAATGCATGTTGTATGTATGCTGTGTATGGGTGTGTACCCTGAAGGAGTGTGTCCATGTGTACACTGAGGTATGTGGGTATATGTGTTGAGGGGTGCATATGTGTGTACATTGAAAGATGTATGTATCTGTATATATTCGGACAAGTATGTGTGCCAAAGTGTTGTGTGTGCACTGGTGTGTGTGTGCGGGCATGCATGCGTGCACCCATGTGAAGGCACTGAGGTGTGTGCCTGTGTATGTCAGGGCATATGCATGTATTCACTGAGGTCTGAACGTGTATATGTTTATATCCCAAGGTGCACATGCACACTGAAGGGTGTCTGTGCTGAGGTGTGTGTGTGTGTGTGTGTGTGTGTGTGTACATGGAAATGTGCATATGCCAAGGTGTGCACACACATTAATGTGTGTGCATGTATACATACAGAGGTATGTCTATGTTTGTGTGTGTGTGTGTGTGTGTGTGCGTGCGCGCGCGCAGAGGTATCTATGTGCTTCGGAGAAGACTCTGTGTGGTTTGTGTGTCTGTATACCCAGAGGAGTGCACATGCAGTCCATTCTGCTCTACACTGGCCTCTGTTAACTGAGTACAAGGTAAGCTTAAGGGCCCTGCACAGGGTAGGGCTGAGCAGGGATGCACAGAAGCAGTTGCAGGGTACCAGTGAGGGGGATTGGAGATGAGGTCATTGATGCTTTGAAGGGGAGGACTGATGTGAGAGGGCCTAAGGAGCAGTTCAGGGGCACACCTGGGTGGCAGGCCAGGCGAATGTGAAAGCGAAGACTAGAAGCAATCATGTCAGGGATTGGGGTGGGATTTGAACACAGGTCTGAGAGTAACAGAGCTGAGTCAGAGATCAAGCCTGGAACTTGCCAGGGTCTGCAGCTCTGTTAATCCAAGGCTGTGTCCTAGCCTACGCTGATGGGAGATGCCTCCTCCGTGCTGCCCTGATCCCACCGTGTGGCTCGAATGGCAACCTTGATGCAGCATCTCAGGATGGGAGTTTCTGTTAGGTTTGCACTGAGCTTTGGTTAGAAAGTAGGTTGGAGATGGGCTGTGTTAAGGTTGGGTTTGGAAGTGGGCATGCAGTTAGAACAGGGCTTGAAGTAGAGACTAATGGGCGTTGGAACCGGCTAGGTTCAGGTTCCCTGTGGGGTTGGGACTGAGTGGAATTTGCAATGGGGTTGGAGGTTGGGTGGGGCTGGGTTTATGATCGGGGTTGGGTCTGGGATGACGTGGGAGCTAAGGCTGAGCTGAGATTTGATTTGACATTAGGATGGGGCTGGGTCAGAGGAGCCCTTTTCTGACTCAAGGTGGAGAACCTCCTAAGGTGTGGCTGGGATTCGGGGAAGGAGAGGGGGATTCCGCCCAGCTGGCCTGTCTGCCCATACAGTTCCTCCACCTGGCAAGAGGCAGAGCAGGTAGGGGCTCCCGGGGTGACGTGGCTCTACAGTGTGGGAAAGAGGAAGTGACTCTTGGGCCTTGGCCCTTTGGGTTTGGTCCTACCCAGTCCCATCTCTGACATCTTCCCTGGGAAATAGGAACCCACTCTTTTTCCCTTGCCCCCTAGTGCCTCTATCCAGTCTGGTCCCAGCTGTGAGTTCAGGCCTCCTGCCTCTTCTCCAGAGGACACATAACCTCATCAGCCAGCATGAAAGCTGCCAGAAGCTGGCTCTTGGTGGCCTTCCCAGAACCCCAAGTTACACCCTGAACTCTAAAGCCTGTCCTCAGCACCCCACATACCTTATTACTCCATGGCTCTGAGATTCTTTGGGCTCTGCACCCCAAGACCATCTCTTCTGGCAAGCTCATGCATGTCCATGACTTTCCAAGCCAGGCCACCTTCTAGATCTGTCTTGCTGTTTAGGGACCACCAGCAGCTGCTCCAAACCTGGGGAAGGAAGCCAGACTGGCTGGCTGGCATTTAAGATCATAATCAGGCCCCTGCTCACCACACCACTCAGCCAGCATCCCAAAATATTCCCCATGAGTAGAGAGGGAGGCCAGAACTCAGGCCCAGGAGAGAGGCAGCCGATTCAAGGCCAGCTTCATCATTTAAAAGCAGTGTGGACTTTCAGCGTCTTGGCTTCTGCACCCAAAATGGGTAACAAGAACAGTTTCACTACCAGTTTCAGATTTTTCTAGAAACATTTCCTAGACAACCCTGGCCCCCTAACTCCTGGGCCAAAACCATTTCCACTCATCTGTGCTCCCTCCCCTCACATACCGAGCCACACTGTGAGGGGCCAGCAGCAGAAGCTGCAGGGCCCAGTGCTCAGAATAGGGCTGGTGTTCGGTGGACACCACTGTCTTTAAGGAATCGGGAAGGTGGCAGCGCTTGTCACAAGCACAACAGTAACAATTCTGAGATTGGCAGGGCCAGGCATCAGACAGTGTGCTCTGCAGCTGAGAAAAACCAGATGGACCCCTAAATCCCAACTGGCCCAGACCCACTGCTGGAAGCTGGAGCTCTGCCTGCTGTGTTCGGCCAAGAGGTTCAGTTTAAAGGCTGTGTCTGGATCATGCTGGGTCCCTGGAGGGCTTAGCTGTCCCACCGGACTCTGCGCCCCTGGAAGCTCACAGGCCTAAAGCTGAACAGAGCCCAGCAGGTTCCTGAAGACACCTAGCCTGATCTGCGTGGCCTTGGGAGGGGTGTAGCCTCCATTTCAGAGCCTGACCTGTGAAACTTGTAAATGCGCTTTGGAGGGTGTAGCAATCTCTGGTTGCTATGGGAACCCATGGAAACCCTGCCTGAGATAGCATTCCAGGGAATGTGAACTTCCTAACAACTCTGGGGATAAATAAGAAATAACTGTACAATTCTATTTTATAGACGGCATGATTTTCAGATTTACTGCCAGGTGGATTTGGTGGCAACTATGGTCACATCATTATAAATTCCAGACAAGAATTCAATTTTTTCAAGTGCCAAAGAAAAATCTAAACTTCTGTGTGGTGCAACGCCAGGCCTCCTGACTGTTCCTGGCACCACACAGAATGAGAGTCACACAGGCAGGCCCCATGAAGGTCAGTGGTGTCCATGTTACAAGGAAACTGAGGCCATCAGAGTGCTCAGTGTCATATAGGCAGTGAACGGCTGGTGAAGTTTGAGGCCCTGGCCAGAGCCTAAGTTCAGGCTCCCCTCCCCCAGGTGCCAGGTTAGTAGGCACTTTCCCTTGATGGTCCAGGGGGCAGCTGGGGAGTGGAGAGGGTGTGTCTACTTGTTTGCCTAGCAGTCATCCCCCTGCAGCTGGCCCGGATGAGGCTATGGGCACCCATTCACCATCTGCTCCCACTCATACAAAGCAGCTGCCTTTTCCTGGTCCCGGAGGCATCTCACTGAGACAACCTCTCACCCCAGAGGGCTGGGACAGAGAGAACCAGCTGGAGTGCACCCCACCCACAGGACAGAGTCCCTGCAAGACACGGTGCGGGCTGTGGGAGGACAAGCCTGGGACTCAGGTCCCTGAGGCCAGGCCACAGGATGCTTGCTGCAAGAGGTGCACTTGAAGTGGGCCTTGAGTGGTGGAAAGTATAGACTTGGCGCTGAATCAGAGCAGGGCAGGAGCAGCAGGAAGGAAAGTTTTAACAGCAGCTTGGGCATCTGCTTGATGGCAGACTGTGAGCTGCAACTGGTGTCAAGTCCAGGAGGGAAGGGGGCACTCCACTCTAGCAGTGCAGGAGATGCGTGGACGGCAGCATGGGGGGCAGGGAAGGCAGCTGGTATGGGCAACTTGGTCTTGGATGATGGGGGTAGGAAGAGGGAAGACCACTTCCTCAGAATCTATATGCACTTTCTAGCTGCTGTATGCTCTGGCTGGCTTCTCAAATACTTTGAGGTAGGATGTCTTGTTCCCATCTTACAGAGGAGGAAACCAAGGCTCAGGAGGGTAGTGTTTTACCCATAAGAACTCTAGGACCTCCTGACTCCAAAACTTCCTCCCATTGCCCCAAGCATTGATTGTACTGGCCCTTGGGGTCTCCAGGGATCTTGGTCAAATGACAAGGGACCAGCTTCTGCTACGGCCAGGAAGCCTGGGCTGTGGTGGCACAGGGGCTTTGCAGGGCAGAAGCAGGTACAGATCTGCCATCCAGCTCAAAGTAATGGCAACAGGGACAAGCCAGGGAAAAAGAAACTGCAAGAGATCTGCAGGGCCAGACTAACGGTGCTTGGGTACAGTGCAGCTTGATCTCAGACAAGTGTTGCTAAGATATAGGACCCTGGAAGAGGAGACGCTTGATCAAAGCCACGGAGTCTGAGGAGCCACCCCCTCTGAGAGCTGACCCCTGCCAACTGCCTGCTGCTTGCGAGCACACAGACACACAAAGTTCAGTCATGGAGGCTGGGGCGATGGCTCAGCAGTTAGATGCACACACATGAAAATAAAAAAGGAAAAATAACAAAAAAAAAACAGTCACAGCCACTCGGGCTACACAATCACATAGTGTGGCATTTGTTCACACCATCACAGAGCACCGCACAAGGTCTCTCTCATACACAGATAGCCACAGACACTAGCACACCTCTATCGATGAAATGAGGACCATTCCTGCCTCTGCCCAAGCATCACTTACATGAGGTATCCTCTGACATCTTTTTGATCGCTGTTTGCCTTCAACCTTTTGGGGGCGCTGTGGTGTGAAAAGAGGTGGCATCTGACCAGTGATACTGATCGAAAAGGCTCTGGAGCTGGATGGGCTGGGGTGACAGTCAAGGGCACCTGCAAGTGCTGTGAAGAGGCAATCAGCCTTCCATGGGAAGCACAGACCAGAATGAGGCAGATCTAGGCTGTTCTCTCCCTTGCACTGGCAGTGACCTTTGGGCCAACACTTCACCTCTCTAATGGCAATGCCCAGCAGTAAAAGGAAGATAATGACATTGACCTCACAAGGTGGCTGGGAGTACTAAGGCAGATAATGGCTGTCAAGTATCGGGCAGGGACCTGGCAAATGGTGGCAATAATCATAACACTCTTGATGGCCACGGGAGCAGTGTGCATATGGGGAACCATCTAGGCCTGCTCTGGTTCAAAGGCAGGGCTCAAGAGGGCAAGGTGTGGGGCCCAGAGGAACCACACCTGTGGGAAAAATGTCAGCCCTTATATCAGCTGGTCCTGAGAGAGAAGAGGTTTGGGGTGACATCACTGGACCTGAGCTTTGGGGTGAGGGCAGTGAGCATCAGTGGGTCCAGCTGAGGCAGTCGTGCAGCCACCCCACCTGCATGCTTAGGCTGAGAACTGCACGGGTTCCTTGGCTTCTCCATCCAGTCACAACTGCCAGGCGAGGAATGCGGCCACCAACCCTGAGTGGCTAGCTAGACCTGGGCTGCAAGGGGGCAGCACAGACCAGAGGGAAAGGAACCCTTTCAGAAAGGAAAGGCATGAGGTTGGCAGTGTCGCCCTCTGGCGGCCATAGACACTTTCTGCTGCCTTTGCTTTGTTCCAGGCCTTCTCTGCCCAGAGGTCAGAGAGCTGGGAAGTCCTAGGTCAACACAGCGAGCTGCAGGAAAGAGGAGAATGCTGGGCCCACTAGGGCGAGGTTTGAAATCCTAGCGCTACTGCTGCTGTTCCCACCCCGCCACTTAACAGCCAGACGACCCTGGCCAAATGAATTCACAGCTGTGGCCTCAGATGCTTTGTTTGTGAGAGGTTGGAAACTGCCTGTTATTTTGAAGAGGAAATATGATGATTTACACCAAGCACTTTGGAAAAGTAGCATTAAATAACAAGCACTCAGAAATGGCTCTTGATGTGCTCCTGGGGTCCACCTTGCTTAGACGCTGCTCAAGAGCTGGGAACTGGCACCTGCCCTGACATGGGGCTGAAATCTGGGTTTGTTTTGTGGCTAATTACTAAGTCTGTGCTTTCTTCATGACGACTAGTCAATATACCATACCCCAGGGAGCATGCAAAAAGTTCAGAATCTCTCTTGGAACATCAGGTAGCCTGTCTTGGTGGGAAGTGCCTTTACCTACTGAGCCATCTGCCAGCCTGTCTCAGGCATTTTAAGTGCTGCCAGGTCAATGATGTGCTCCATTCTTTCCCCAATTTTCTCTTAGTAGCCGGGTGGCTTGGACCAAGTTCCTTCCTTCACTGGGTCTCAATGCTTTCAACAACGAAATGTGAAGCTTGGGGCTGGAGAGATGGCTCATGGTTAAGAGCATGGGTTGCTCATGTGAGGTCATGCAGAGGACTGGAGTTTAGTTCCCAGTACCCACATGGCAGCTAACAGCCATGGCTAAACTAACTGTATATAACTCCAGTTCCAGAGGGATCCAATGCCTTCTCCTGCCCCCTGTGGGCATGGCACAACATAGGTACAACTTACATACATGCAGGCAAAAATATTCATACTACATAAAATATAAAATATGTAGTCACTTAGTGTTAATAATTCCCCAAGCCCCTACTTGTGTTTAACACCCTTTCTATGAAGACTGACCGAGACACCTGTGCTTTGTCCAGGACCGCTTTACCTGGGTAAGGGTCACATGTCAACAGCAGTCCTCGCAGTCACATGTGGAAGCTGTGAGGAAGGCAGGGGCAGCCTACCGCATTCACGCCTCCTCTCATCGGGAGAGGTGTGCTTCGGCTGCATGGGACGAGGCACTGGGGGACCAGATTATGAGGTGTCTTCTGCTACTGATGCCCAATCCCGTCCTCTAAGGGACAGGCATGCCATGAATACACACAGACACAGGTGTGAGCAGTCACCAGCCTTAGCTCTGAAAGCATTCTTTTTGGGTAGTCATGACTTGGAGTCAGTCACAGACTGAAACATCCCAAATCTGCAAGCAGAGGTTGAACTAAGGCAAGTTCCTTTCTGAGCCCGTTTTCACCTGTAAATGTAACGAACTGATGTTCCTCGGAGGGTTGCATAGGCTAAATTAGCAGTTTGGGGCAGCCTGACAGATTGATAGGAAGCTCCCTCTTCTCAGGTGAAACAAGACTTCATATCCTGTTCCTGCCTGTTGCTGGTCCTCTGAACCTGCTCCCACCTCAGCCAACAATCTCCACTCTAATGCAGACCCACTGCTCAGAGCTGTAGTGTTGGTGGGAGCCTTGGGCCCACTGGAGGCTGACCCCACAAAGCCCACTCACCCAACTATCCTAAGCCCCTGCCCAATCCTCAGCATGACATGACCAGATCCCTTATCATCAGTCTTGCCTGGACTTTCAAAGTGGTCTCCCTAGCCTGGCTCCCTGTCTTGGGCAAGTCTGTACCCACCTAAAGGTAGGAGCTGTGGCTTCTCCATCTCTAGCTTTCTCTCTGGAGGGCTCATCCAAGAGTATCTGCTCTGCAAACGCTCAGCTCCACATTCGCCTTTAGAGGGCTGTCTGGACGGCGGCATCGGAGACAAGACTGGTAGGAAAGGGAGGTGAGAACAAGGGGCTCCCTTGGGAAAAAGAGGCCTCTGAAAAAGAACACGATGCTTCTGGCGAATCCTCAGTTGTGTCATTTTCAACTAAAGAATCCAGACATTCACCAGACTTCTACCCAAGCTGTCCACATGCCTTTAAAACTAAGGTCACAGCATCCCCACAGCAGAGCACCAGGCACGCATCTAACACCACGTTTCAAGACCCAGGTACTGTTCTTTGTGGGTGTATATGTATGCCATGTGTGTGTGCAAGTGCAGACGCAGGTCAGGAGAATGTCAGGTATCTTCCTCTACTGCTCTCCACCTTATTTTTTTATAGGGTCTCTCACTGAAACTGAAGGTTGACATCTTGGCTAGGGTGGTTGGCCAGTGGACTCCTGGGATCTACCTATCTCTGCCCACACCAATGCTGGGGTTACAGGTATGTATGACCACCCCTAGCTTTTATGTGGCTGCTGGGAATTTGAACTCAGGTCCTCTTGCCTTCACAGTAAGTGGTATTACCCACTAGGCCATCTCCATAATCCTAGGTACTGTTCTAAATACTTAAGATATAGTCGGCCGTGGTGGTGCACGCCTTTAATCCCAACACTGGGGAGGCAGAGGCAAGCGAATCTCTGTGAGTTCAAGGCCAGCCTGGTCCACACAGTGAGTTCCAGGACAACTGGGGCCAAAGGGAGCCCCCTTCTCAAAAAGACCAAAAAAAAAAAAAAAAACCCCACTTAGATATATTAATAATTTATCACTCCAACTCCCCAAAAGTGGGTACCATTTTACACTCACTGTGACTGAGGAAAACAAGGGCTCAGAGATTAAATAACTTCGAGTTAATAAAAATAGTGAGATGCTCAATAAATGGCAGTAAGCACTAAGGCAGAAATGTATGGGAATCGATCTCAAACATCCCGAAGGCTCTGGGGTCCTGGCCATCTCCACTGCACTGAAGGACAAAGACCATCAGGGCTATGAATACAGTTAACATATTTATTTTAGTGCCATCCATGCATATCAGTTCTGGCAGCGACAATCCTAATGACACTTGGAATATTTCTTTACAGCACTAAATGGTTACAAAGAATGGGTGCCACTCATCATTGGCAGAATATGAAATCGTGCAATAGCAAAACTGTAGAAACATTAAAACACTGACTGTCCAACAGCAGTACAGAGAGCAGGTTGTGTGTGCACAAAAAGCCAATGCATTTCATCACATATATACAATACAGATATGTACACATCACCCTCTGAATGAACAATATCAAAATACTCTATTCCATTTGAAATTATCCCAAGATTGATTCCCTCCCACTTCAAAGGACATTTAAGAGACACGTATTTAATATTTACAGGAACACACGGGAATACATTTACATTTCAAAAACTGCCACAAATGCCAGTCGGATTATTCTCCTGGACAGAGTGCCCCATTTGTTTCCGTGCTTTTATTCTTACCCCCAAATCTCTAGTCATTTTTAGTCCAAGACCAACTTGCTCTGGGTCATCAACTACCAACAGAAATGGCCACTAGAGGGACTCTGCACCGCACTAGGTTAGCCCTGCTGGTCAAGGCCCACAGAGGCCCGTACTGAGCCCCTAACCCTACAGGAGTCACAGCAGAGTGAGGAGTCTGGGTGGAGACTGCCCTCAAGTGTCATTCTTGGTCAGTTTAAATATTCATAAAAATATCGATCACTGCAAATCAGTAAATGATTGCCAAATGGGAAGTTAGTGCCACACAATTTGTAAAATCATCAGTGGTCCTACCCAAATCACTCAGTTTTAGGAAACTGCATTATTCCAATACCCCCAAATATTTAAAGTGCACATTGCTACCCAAGCAATTTCAACAGTTACAAAACCGCTGGTTGAGTAGCTCACTGAAAAAACCCCCAACCCCTTTTTGCACGCTTTTACTCTGCAGGCTGCCATCTCATCTTGTCTGATCCTTCTGAGAGGCCTACTGGCTGCAGATTCAGAATCCTCTGATTTTCACTGATGCAGAGGGCTGGAACTGAGCTTCCTTTTTTCATGCCAAGCAGGGTTCAAACAACAGAGAAGCCTAAAGCGCACTCTCTCTCTCCCTCCCTCCCTAGCTGCACCACAGCTGGCTTCCCCATGATTCATTCAAGGCAACACTCTATTAAAACACACATTCACATTCAATACACACACAAGAGAGAGAGAGAGAGAGAGAGAGAGAGAGAGAGAGAGAGAGATGTTTGTTTAGTTCAAGTAGAGAATGCTCAGCCATGGAATCACTAAGGCTAATTAAAGTGATTTAGCATGGCTGGTAAGAGACCAGAGATGCTAACAAGCCACTGGTGAGCAGTTATTTCTCCTTGATTTAATAGAATCTACTTCCTCATTCAAACATACTTTTTTCTCCATAAAGGACCAATTCAAAAATCTATTCATGGGGAGGGGCAGATAGTATCATTTCTTCTAGCTTTATTAAAAATTTAACATAATCAATCCATGCAAAGTAACTGTGATATGACAGGAAACAAAGCAACTAATAAAAACTCTTAGAGGTGGGCTTCATTTAGAAGTGGCCCAACATCATGATACAGACATGGAGGACAACAGAACAGCAGGTCATGTAAATGCGTGGAAGACTGAGGCTCTGGAGTCTGCAGAGCTCTGTCCCCTTCACAGTGCCACCTTAACACAGTGAGAAAACTTGCTACATAAACTCTGCTTTGATATTGTTGCCTAAATGGACTCTGTTTCAAAATCCAGAAAACTCTCACTTAGCTGTCAGTTTCACTTAGCAGGAAGGCTGAGATAGAGAAATTTACTCACCTGGGAAAACAAACAAAACCAAAAAACATGTGCTTTCAAACTTCTCCTTAGTGAACCCAAGAGGAGCTGAGCATTCACAGAAAGTAGCAATAAATATTAAAATAACACTTTTGAATAATAAATATATAAGCGAATATGGAGACACTGATTTGAAGAGCCAAGCAGTACCCAGCTTCTAATCAGTCGAAACACATCTCAGAGCTATTTCAATGCAGAACAGAAACACACACAGACAAGTACACACATATTCTAGAATTCCCCAGCACCACAACAAATTTGCTCAGTTCTCTAGAATGCTCAGGAACACTCCCTCTGGACTACTAAGAGCATCAAGCTCTGGGTTCCTTGGCTACTTGGTAGAAGTCATTATTAGTCTCATTTCTAAAGTTTAAATCCAGGAAACTGGGCTTTGGAAAACGATTTCCTTTCAGTTCCTCAGTTCCCTACATCACTGAAAAGGTATCCTGCAGAAAACAGCCTAACAAGAAATAAAAACTGGCAGCAACTTTCTTTTCAAGACACAATGATCCAATCAGAAAAAACTTGAAGCCTTTCATGAATGTTTGTACATATATTTACACATATGTATCTATAAACTGCTTACAGCAAAATAGGCTCTGTCTGAAAAATCAGTCTGGCACTTGTGGTTAACATCAACTGACACAAATATGCAAAAAGCTGTCCAAATCACACAACAGTTAGGAGCTACATAGGGCAGTTGGCAGGGAGACAAACATTTAGTTCTCATTTGGGTCAGATAAAAGCAGTAAGTTGTTATCCAGCTAAAATCTTTGATTGTCTTCAAAAGAAATTCTGTTAACATTGGTAACACAACTGTTTTCTCCACTGGACTCTAAACCTTTCCTTTCAGTGCACAGAAAGGCGATGCTGGAGCCTGGTGCCTTGCAGAAATAAGCCCTACACTATCGAATCCCAGTCAAAGTCATCCTGGATGTCATCTGGAGGCAGGGAGCGCCGCATCTGGAAGGCTTGGGAAGGCATCATGTGCTGCTGGTTCATGGCTCCGTGATGGCCTGCAAAGAAGACGGCCACATCAGCACGAGCTGGACAGAGGAGGAAGAAACGACGAGCCCTTGCTGAGCACTTCCTATGTGCTAGTACACAGAGGCTTCAACAAAGTGGTTCTTACGAGCCTCATGTTACATTAAGCAGAGGGTCTAAGAGGCTGAACAAACTCTAGGTATAGTGGCAACACATGTAATCTCATGAATTCAAGGGCAGCGTAAGCTACACAATGAGACCTTGTCTCAAAAAAAGACAAGAGTCCATCTGACTCCAAAAAACCATATTCTCTCCACTACGTAGCCTGTGGTGAAGAGCACAAATATAAAATCTCCCTGCAGTCTGCTCTAATGTGCTCCAATAACATGAACTGAGTGACATCAGCATACCACTGAAGTCAGATGGAATACAAAATTTCATGTTGCTCACTAATTATTTCCCTCATAAATCCTTTAACATACATACAATTTTACAGAATGGTAAGGTTTTCAGTATATCACAGCACAGAAATGCTAAAGTGTCTTTTTAAAAATTATTTATATTTTATGTGTATGAGTGTTTTGCCTGCATGTGTGCAAGTGCACCTGTGTCGTGCAAATCCTGTAGAGGCCAGAGGAGGGCACCAGGTTCCCGGAACTGGAGTTACAGATGATTGTTAGCTGCCATGTGGGTGTGGAGAATCAAACCTGGGTCCTCTGAAAGAGCATCCAGTGCTCTTAACCACAGGGCCATCTCTCTGGTCTCCTGAAATACCTTTATTTAACAAAAAAATAAATTCCTCCTCTGTCAGGCACTAATTTACATAATTCTCATACACCTGCCATTTAATCCTAGCAACTCCAGGAGTTAGGCAGTTTTCTTAGCCTCCTGTCACAGACAAGAGAGCTAACTAACATAAGAGGCCAGCAATCTGGCTCCAGAGCTGAAGCCACTGAATGGTGTGACTATCACTGCTGAAGAGTCAGAGCACAAACATCCCTTCCCCTTCATCAAAGGACATATTACTTGTCACATGCTCTCTGTTGCCTGGCACACAGTTCTCTCCGGGTCTCACACACCCTCACTGTCAGATATTCTTTTGTCTTCTCCTCAGATGAAGTAAAGGGCAGTGTGGTTAATAAGGAGAACAATGGATTCTGAGTGCAGACATAGGACCTAGATCTCGGTTTACCCACACATCAAACTAGGGAGTCTGGACAGCTTCTCTCTCCTGAGCCCCTAATTCCTCATCTAAGTGATCCTTATGACCCCTTCCAGTTCTAACCATGTGTCTTAGTCTCCTCTTACTGTACCTTGAAGAACTTAGGAGAACAAAGTTGATCAACTAGTAAGGGTAACACGAATCTTCCCTGTAGGAAACTCCTGGAAACTATAGCTGGGGTGACTCCACTAGAATAAATAGAATTCCAGGGAGCTAGTCAAAGCAGGTCCCCAAGATCTGCAAAGTTCTGTCAAAGTCAAACATCTTCAAGGATACTCTGTACTCCAGCCTCCTAAAATAAAGAGTTCATGCCTCTCAAAGCAGCCTCATTTACTGCAGGGAACACAAGGACTTTAACAGCAAATTCCAGGTTCCAGATGTAACACAGAGCAGTGCACACAGACTACCTGCCATCGCTGCTCCTGGAGTGCTGAGTGCCTGTGGGATATGAGGATATCCAGGAGGCGGCATCACTGAGGGAGGGAGATTTTGCCTGGAGTCTATGTACAAATTTCCTAGTGCAATTGAAAAACAGAAAAAGAGAAGATGTTACCATAAGCAAAACAAACCAAGCATTAAAATCTTAATGGAATAGTTACCTAAAATAAAACTAGGGAGGTAAGTTGAGGAGAATGGGGAAGGGAAAATTATTACTTCAGATGCACGCCCAAAGTGCCAGAAGCAGAGCTGATCCTTTGAGCAGGATGCGAGGCTAGGGGTTAAGCACAGCGGTGTAATTCTGGCACTGCCATTAGCTCTCTATAAGCTCATAGGCAAGTATGTCTATTATTGTCACTCCACTGTAGTTCAACAGTATTTCCACAGCCATTACGTCACTTGACCCTCCCGCTACTCACACAAAAGGCAAGTCAAGAATTATCCCCTTCATCCTATAGATAAGGCAAATAATTAAGGCTCAGAAAACCAAGCAGACTGGCCCAAGGGCACAGGTCTGACAGGGCTAGCCAGCCTAAAATCCACATCTCCTGGCTCAAAAGCTCTTTCTGCTATGGCCCACTTCTCTACCCTGACTTCTCACCTTGGTAGTGGATTGATCATGCAAGCCCCTGGTTGAATGAGTGGGAGGCACACAGTAACAGCAAAAACATGCACAAAGTAAAAGCGCTAAGCCAAGCAAAAGTAATTAAAAATGTATTAAGAGTTTAGAGATGAGAAACACAGATCTCATCCAAATGGTATTTCGGTAGATTCTTAATGCATTCTCACTGACAGGAGCCATCAAGTATAAAAGCTCTGAAATGTCAAGTACATTGTATCATAATGCAAAATACTGAGGGAAGCAAACATACCTTCTTCCCCAGTGACTGGGAGGGAAAGACCATAAAACTGGTTCACATTCTAACATCTGGAATTTCCAAAAGGCTACTTCCCTAAGGGGTTCTAGTGTCTCACATAAATTACAATTCAATTCTATTAATGCTGTAATGAAACTAAAAGGCAGCAACCATTTTCCCTGAGAAGGACTAAAACACTTTCCCTTCTACTAAGGTACAGCATACTGCATTTGACTGCTCAGAAGTTATCACCTGCCACAGGAAAGCCAGACTCATGTCTAGGCTGGAGGTGGCCTCAGAGATAAACTAGTTCAACTGTACCTCTACTGGCATAGGAAACAGAATCAGGGAAGAAATTAAACAGAACCAGGAACAGAATCCAAGACTCCTCTCCCCTGTCTCCTGCCTCCCAAGAGGCTGAAATTCTGTCACATTCCTAACACTTTATCTTCACAGAAAAAAATCTCATTGCTTCTTATTTTTCCATGTCATGAAAAATGACAACTTATATGGAAAAATTTTCCATGTCATGAACAATGACAACTTATATTGTGTATATTCCTAAGTAAACTCTGAATTCTTAAAACATCCTTATAAGACATGTTAACACATTCCAATTTTCACTGCAAATCTATGCAAGTTTAAATTGATATAATTTCATAACTATGCTCTTACAAAAACAAGTATCTTTAAGACATTTACTTGTTCAATAACAGCTTTAAGATGTTAATGATCACAAAGGATAACAGTAAATAAATCACAACAGAATGGTCGTTTCACCTCAAATTTTTTCTTTTTTTTTTAAAAAAATTTATAATTTTTATGTGTATGCATGTATTGCCTGCATGTAGGTAAGTGCACGCGTGTCATGCAATGCCCACAGAAGTCAGAAGAGGCTGTCGGATTCCCTGGGACTGACTGGAGTTACAGACAGTTGTTAGCTGCCATGTGGGTGCTGGGATTCGAACCTGGGTCTTCTGCAAGAACAACCAGTGTTCTTAACTGCTGAGCCATCTCTCTAGCCCCTCACCTCAAATTTTCTAAGACATACTTTCCACATAAATTATTGGCTGTCATTCATTTCTTACAAATAATGAGACATGGATGGATCACTGTCACCCTGAGAAATATACCAAGCTGCCTAACACAGTAAATTCCACATAAACGTGAGAGAGAGAAACCTAAGAAGATACAAAGCTCATACCTGTCCCCATGTGTTGGGAAGGCTTTGTTGGATGCATGGCACCATGACAAACATTCTGCTGAACATTACTCTGTGAGTGGATAAGGCCAGTTTGAGTAAAGAACTGATTAAGAGAGGAACAGAGATCAGCAAACTGAACCTGATCTAATGACCAGTTCTTGAGATCTGCCTGTCTCATGCTCTCCATCAGACCTACAAGGAAAAGATTTGAAATGTAGTTAGCACAGTTTTGTAAATGCTGCAAGGAAAATAACAAGATCCAGGTTTTTCAACCATCAGAATTTCCACTGGCTCATTTCAGACTAGTAGTGATTTCCCCATGTGACAGTGACATTTTAAAACATTTATGATTATAGAGGGAGGGAGGGCTCAAAGTGCTTGCCTTCAAGCATGAGCACATGAGTTTAACACCCAGAACTCATGTTAAAAAAGAAGTCAGACACAGTGACATGTTTATAATGCTAGTGTGGGGGAAGCAGAGACAGAGCCTCACCTACATGGTAAGGTCCAGGTCAGTGAGAGACCCTGTCTCCCTGACAAAGGGGGATGGGGAAGGGATGTGCACTCTGAGGAGATGGTTCAGTGGGTAAAGTGCTGTGCAAGCTTGAGGACCAGAGTTCTGATCCCCAGAAGCCACGTAAAAAAAACCAGGTGCAGTGGTACATGCCTATACCCCAACACTGGGGGAAACGAGGATCCTGAGAAGCCAGTAAATGCAGCCCAAACAGTGAGTTTCAGGTTCAGTGAGAGACTCTGCCTCAAAAATAAGGTGGAGAAGTGATGAAAACATCAACCTCTGTCCCTCACATGAGCCTCCATGGGCAAGCACACCAGCTTACTACACACACACACACACACACACACACACACACACACACGAACAAAAGAACAGATGATTGATTAGTCAAGAGAGATGGCTCACTGGATAAAAGTGTAAGTCTCAAGATCTGGGTTAAAACCCCAGAACCCATGGTAGAAAGAACAGACTCCCAAGTTACTTGTAACTTCTACATATACCGCATCGTATGGGCTTGCCTGCCTGCTCTCTCACATACATATTAAGACACATAAAATAGTAAAAACTAAAATGAGAGAGAGAGAGAGAGAGAGAGAGAGAGAGAGAGAGAGAGATTGATTTTGAGATTGGCTGATTACTGAAGAACTAATTCTTTTAAATATCATCAATGCCTTTCAAAACTCTTGTATGTAACTCTCTTCAACTGGCCAATTTATTAGGCATTTTACAAGTGTCCTTTTTTAAGTATCTGACCAACTGCAAAAGATATGCTTTTATAGAGCTGGAGAGATGGCTCAGTGGTTTAGAGCACTGGCTGTACTTGCAGAGGACCAGAGTTTGTTTCCTAGAACCTACACGGCAACTAACATCTGTCTATAACTCCAGTTCCAGGGTATCTGACATCATGGGCACTGCATGACATGGGTACATTTACACACATGCAGGCAATACATTCATACACATAAAATAAAAATAATAAAATATTGGGGCTGGAGAGATGGCTCAGTGGTTAAGAGCACTGACAGCTCTTCCAGAGGACCCAGGTTTGATTCCCAGCATCCATATGGCAGCTAACAATTGTCTATGACTCCAGTTCCAGGGGATCTGACATCCTCTTCTGACCTCTGTGGGCATTACACGACATAGGTGCACTTACATGCATGCAGGCAATACACTCATACACATAAAATAAAAATAGCTAAGAGATGGAAGCAACCCAAGTGCCCCTCAACTTAACAAAAATGTGGTACATTTACACAATGGAGTTCTACTCAGCAGTAAAGAAAGATGAAATAAAGAAATTTGCAGGTAAATGGATGGATCTATAAACTGTTAAGTAACACAGATTCAGAAAAACAAAAGACCTATGTTCTCCCTATTTGTGGATACTAGCTCCAAATCCTTGTAAGTGAGCGCATATCCTGATGAAACTGCAGGGACCAGGAATATGGAAGGGAAACAGGGAGGTAAAGGGCAAGAAGGAACCCGAGAGAGAATAGTAGGATAAAGGTGTTACTAAGGGAGAAATATGCAAAAAGGGGGCAGTTAAAGGGGAGGGAGGGAAGGAAGGCTATTCAAAGAACTATGGGAATAAAGGGGAAAAATTCTCCAGATACACAGTATTTAAAAAAGAAAGCCTTAAGTACAGAAGGAACCCTATGAGGATAAAGAAATCCCTTCCAGAAGCAATACAGTTGTTAAATGAAAAATCCCAGTGCCAGAGGTGGGTTGCCCCTCTAGGAGCTGTTGCCCTGAGGGGCCCTGGAGGTCCCCCAAAACAATAAAGTCCATTGCCAATAATGTTGGTTGTACACCAGAAGTGGACGAAGGGACCCTATTGCTGAAGACACTGCTTGATGTGAGCACTGGTGAGGGAGAAATCAAGCTTGGACTAAGCTGGAAACTCCCTGCCACTGGATGGGTAGCTTTCCTGGTGCTAAAGTTGGATGGATGGTTTCCTGGTGCTAAAGGGCGATATGCAGATGACTAGGGGGAGAACTGTCCTCTGTAATTCTGCTCAAGGACGGACCCCATGTGTTGCACTATCAACATACCAAACAAGAAGTTCCTGTTAGTGCAATAGTGCAGCATCCACCAGCAAATTTTCAATTGTATAAAATGCCTGCTCCTAGTGATGGAACAGGTATCCGGTACTGTAGACCTGGCCAACCCCCTGTGGCAGGGAGAATATTAGGCCCCAGTGGGAGGCCACTGCAACTGTTTTGTTAGATGGATGTGATGCACCTGCTAAAGTACCATCCAAGTGGGTGTGTTTACACCCATAGTTTAAGTTACTGTAGCAGCCACTGTTTATAGATTCTTGTTTCTCTGTTTGTGTTTTTTGTTTTTTTTTTTTGGTCTTTTTGAGGCAGGGTCTCCCTGTAGCTGTCCTGGAACTCACTATGTAGACCAGGCTGGCCTTGAACTCATGGAGATCCACCTGCCTCTGCCTCCCAAGTGCTGGGATTAAAGGCATGCGCCACCACGCCCGGCTTGTTTGTTTTTATAGTAGATGGAATCCCACTGAAACGTGCCAACAACCCATGGAAAACTGACGATGCAGAGACCCGAAAGGTCAGTGCATTGCCACAATGGGAGGAAGATCACCCCACACCTATCACCTCCTCCAAGGCTCAGGGACTTCTTTGGAAGAGGTTGGTGGAAAGAATTATGAGCCAGAGGAAGGGGTGGAGCGTTAACTGGAAGTATATGCTAACCACTGTGCTGGGAAGCTATAGTCACACCTCCTTCCACGCTCATCAAGGAGTCAAGGGCTGAGTGAGTTACCCCTCCCTCCCACCCAGTCGACCCTAGCTGCATGTGGGGAGGGGCTAAGGATATATAAGCCGAGAATGCCAGGAGGCACCTCTCTCACCATTTTCTGTGGCTGTCGGGAAGTCACAGGATCTATATTTGAGTGTGGACTTTCCAGGGCAGCCGTAAATGGAGGGTGCCCACTCCTCTGTAAATAAGCCCCCACCCTATGCTCTGTTAAAAAAGAAAAAAGAAAGAAAGAAAATGATAGATATTTCGATAGATGAGAGGATCTTACTAAACTGCAAGTGGAAAGACTTGTACTGGGTAATGTCTGGGGACACTGACTTGACACAGTGGACCTTAACACCCAGGATAGAGTATATGGGTTGCAGAGAAGGGGTTAAGGGTGGGTGCTGGTGGGGATGGGGTTATAAAGATGATTCAGATTGTTTGAGCTGTTCTGTATGAAATACAACAAAATTTAATAAAAACAAATTTAAAAAATAAATAAAATACTGTTTAAAATGACAAAAAAAAATTTAAAGGTATGTTTTTATATAAGAAGATGCTTATTTCTTTTCCTTTGAGACAATCTTGCAATGCATTCTTGGCTGGAGGAATACTTGCTATGTAGTCCAAGCTGGACTCGAGCTCTTGACAATCCTCCTTACCCAGGGCTGGGATTATAGGCATATACCTACACAGCTGGCAGAGGAGGTTTATCTACTACAAAGAAACATAATTCTCCAGAGAAAACAGAAACATAAATATTTGATTATATGTGAAAAGAACCAATACTTACCTTGAAACTGTGAAAGGTCTACATCTGACCAATTAACACTGCTGGCAATTCGACAGCTTTCCTTTAGCATATCAAGCGTTGCATACCAATCGTTTGAAACACCTATTAAGTAATAATGGTAATACTATAACTGTTGGATAATGAACATTTGAAGAGTACACTATAGGAAGACAAAAAGTGGGCCTTATTTCTGACATTGGCTGATCCCTGTCCAGTCTTGAAAAGAACTAGTACCCATTATATTAGGTCTTGGGTCAATCTCTGTAAAACAGGCAGAAAAAATTAATTCCTCTCCATTTTACATATAAAGGAAAGAGAACCACCCAGACAGGTAGCAAGTAACGGACCTAGAGGACAAGGAAGCAGTAAGGAAGCTAAGACTTTAATGTTGGTCTTCTAATCTCTGGGCTGGCAGCTTGCAAACTGCCACATCGCTTTATAAAGCCAAACTTGGCACTATTTTTTCTCATTTGTATAGTGCATATAAACGGCCAGGCAGGAAAACTCTTGTGGAAATCAGTATTTTCACTTATTTCAAGTTCCATTTTTCAACTTTGTTACTGACTCTGGAAAACTTGCTGTTGTTGGAGATAAACCCTACCCTCCGCATAAATATCTGCTGGGTTTTAGACCTTTTAGAATAACTGGTGTTGCAGGTTTCAATGTGAGGTCACAATGTAAATCCAAGTTCTACCACTACTGGCAGTGTGATCCTACACAAACTGCTTCCCTCCTCAGAGTTGTACTTTTTCTGTGTATAAGATGTGATACTTTACTTGGGAAGATGATCTGGATTGTCCAGTACAGAGAAGGCATAAATAACTTCCATTCCTGCTCTGGTCCCTCCAGTCCTTAAAGAAAATCTGTTTAATATAATCTTATGACTGTGGGATGAATAAATCATAAGAGATAAATCAAAGCCACAGCGATAATGTTTAACTTCCCAGTGAAGCCTGATAAGGGCACATCACTAATTGTTTTCAGCTCCAATAGAACTTTTTTCTTCCTGGCATCATTAAACTTAAAGAAAAGGTAGTTAAAGCCAAAGCACCACAGATTTCTATTTACTGACACCACCTGATCTTACTCATTAGTCAATCCCTCAAATCATAATAAATTTCTGAAGAACATATTTATAAAGCATGAGATAGTAATTGCTCTGTCCCTAAGATAGTGTTTTGTTTTGTTTTGTTTTGAGACAGGGTCTCCCTGTAGCCCCAGCTAACCTGGAACTCACTATGTAGACCAGGCTGGCTTTGAACTCACAAGAGATCCCGCCTGCCTCTGCCTCCTGAGTGCTGGGATCAAAGGAGTGTGCCACCACACCTGGCCCCTAAGACAGTTTTAATTCCATCATATAACTTTTTTTAGGCATTTATCAAAAATACCTTGAAAATGGTTATGAAATATTCCATCAAGGCAGAAAATTTTAAATTTTATTCTATTTAGAATTAGTAACTAGGAAAACAAAACTATTAAAGAAAGCCAAACAAAAATATTTTAGAGAATGAGTGATTTTTAAATATGCATCAGAATTTTAGTTATTTAGAATTTTAGTTAGACAAACATAAGAAATGCTCTGAAGATGATAATATTAATTTCAGATTTTAATGTCCCAAATAATGTCATAGAAACTTGCTAGCCAGAAGAGGGAGGAGGTGTGACACTAACACTTACCACAGACCTACTAAGTTATAGACACAATGCTGGGAATTTTTGAACCTCATCTCATTTGATTCTTCCCAGAATTTTGTCCCACTTTGTAAATAAGAAAATAGCCACAGAAAAAGTTTTATAGAAAAGTCACTGTATGAGAGCATGCATTACCTAAACCTTATTTCTTGAACAATAGTTCAAGTGCATAATACAAAATTATCAATCTTTAATGGATAATTAAAAAGTAGCACTGGCTGCTATTTAGAAATCAACCCTCCAGAGAAAGAATTTCATCAGTGAAAGAGTAAGTGGTCAGTCAGTCAAGCCAAGTGAGGGTCTACCCTTTCCACAACTTCAGGAGTCCCTTCATCTTGTACAATGGCAAGTCTCAGGGTTCCACAGTATAGAGACTGCTGTGCCAAGTGAGTAATGTTATTAAGCCACTCACCAGACACCATCAAGACCTATTTTAAATGCCAGAAATTTTTCTCTTCTCCTCTACCTTTTTTTGGGGGAGGTGGGGTGGTTTCATTTTTGAGACAACATCTCCCTGTAGTCCCAGCTGACTTAGAACTCACTGGACAGATCAGGTTGGGAGATCCACCTGCCTCTGCCTCCAGAGTGCTGGGATTAAAAGTGTGTGTGCTTCACCATGCCCAGTCTGTAGATTTTCTTTTTTTGGGGGGGGGGTGTCTTTTTGAGACAGGGTCTCCCTGTAGCCACAGATAGCCTGGATTCACTATGGAGACCAGGCTGGCCTTGAACTCAGAGATCTGCCTGCCTCTGTGCCACCATGCCAGGCATCACAGATTTTTTTTTTTAAAGTAGTATATAAATGGCTTTTTTTCCTCCTTGTAATCTAGTATTCTATAAGACGGGATGTTTTGCATCAATAAGTAAAAATGGGGAACAATCATGACTATTTAATAAAAAAGTATCAGTCTAGGCATTTCACATTTGTATTCTTAGTATGAGCCTAAAAGCAACAACATATACTGAGCAAAGTTTGGCTCCATTTTTATAGCAGAGAGAATAACAAGGCTAAAAGAAGTTAAGTGCCTGAAGGGGGTATCACAGCAAACACCTATGATCCCCCAAAGAGAAGCTGAGGCAAGAATATCACAAATTTGAGACAAGGCCAGGCCGCATACTGAGAAACTGTCTCCAAAGAAGGTAACTTACCTAAGAGCCATAATGAGGCTCCAAATACACGTCTTTATGATACAAACCTGTACTCTTTTACACTCACACTGGACCACAAGATTGCAGACAGACCACACATTTCAACATATAAGAGTCAAAACTAAAACCTGTGAGAGTGCTGAATTTACCTATGTTGCCACTGAATTTTAACCAATAAAATACCCAGGGTACCTTATGGATTAAATGAGTTAAAACTATAGCGTTACGGGGCTGGAGAAATGACTCAGCAGTTAAGAGCACTGGCTGCTCTTGCAGAGGCCCCAGGTTTGTTTCCCAGCACCTACACGGTGGCTAACATCTGTTTCTAACTCCAGTTCCAGAGAACCTGATGCCCTTTTCTGTCCTCTGCTGACATTGCATAACATGGGTGCACCTACCTACATGCAGGCAATACACACATATACACAAAATAAAAATAAAAGATAAGGTCCTGTGAGAACACAGCCACATGGCAAGATTGCCTGGGAGAGGCAGGTGTTCCAGTTCCACGTCAGGCCCTCCTCCTGCTGGCCTGAGCCTCAGCCATGTGACAGCAGCTTGGGGGCGATGGCCTTGGCCAATCTGAATGGCGCAAGGAAGACCATGGATGTTCTGACTGAGATTTCAATAATTTTGAATACTGGTTTAGATATGGAAAATCTATTTGTGTACAGCTTTGTGAACAAGGAATTACCCCAGAAGTTTTGTCATCTGTTACCAGGGAACTTCAAAAGGCTACTGAAGCACTAAAAGCTGCTGAGAATACCACAAGCTGACTTTCTGCAGAAGTCCTGATGAGATGTGTCAAGCTCTGCGGGGAGGACCGCATTGCAGTCAAGGATGTACACTGAAATTACTACTTGTAGTGTAGAAAATGTTTCCTTTGAAAAAAGACTCATAAAACTGTAGCATTATAAATCAGCAGAAAGTGGCTTAAGAGAGAGAGAACTGCTAGTTGTATTACACTGAATCTCAATTTTCTGCTAATGGCCCCAGTGCTTTGACATTTCTGTGTTCTTATTTATGTATTCCTTATTTACAGCTCTGATAGCTTTACTTTTCTGAGCAGTCTTGTCTATCAGATGTGTACATTTGCTGTCATGGCTAAAGTCAGTGGAACCCATCAGGAGAGATGTATAGTAGTTATGACTTGTTGACATTTCCATTATAAATGTTAATTTTGAATTATTTATGAATGACAATTATGGATTTATGTTGCAAGTTGATGGGATTCAGCTGCCATTTGTGAATTTTGATTTAGATTCCCAATGTGTTTCTAATCTCCTTAACAGAGTGTTTAGTTTTGTAAGCAGTTTGTGGGTAGTTAAAAGTGTAAAACAGATATTTGTATTGACTAAAAATTAAAACTTCTAGAAACTTAGATTTAAAAAGTCATATTAGGGCTTAGCTTAGTATTATTTGTAGTTTGAACTTTTAAAATCTAATGAGAGTGTTAACTGAGAATATTTTCCTTCCTAAATTTAATATCCTATAAAAGCCTAAAAAATTAAGTATAAAATGAAATAGCCAACCTACACAATTCCTTTGTACTTTTCTTACATGAAAGAAATGGGTAATGCTCACTGAATAAACCTTGAATGGTTATTTAATTATTACATAGGTAGTGTGTTTCAACAGATTCATAATAGTTTCTGAAGAATTTCCACTTATTAAAAACTAATGAAATGTGTATCAGGAATTTTAAGTATGACTTTCCAGAATAATTTTATGTCATTATTTTTACCATTAACATTTTAACTCTTCAACATGATGATTCAAAAATAAACTCAAGAAAACTTTCCATAGCATTGGTTTTGTTTTTACTACAGAATCTCAGTAAAATTTTCTTTTTGTTAAAGCTAATATGGATTTAATCTGATTTTACTGTTTCTTAAGTTTTAACTCGGTCTGATACCATTTAACTAATGGTACAAGCCTTCACTCTTCTGTAGTAGTTTTTGTTCAGACAAGTGGAAATGTTTTCTAAGATGTAATAGTATTCAAATAGCCTCCCTCTCTGCTGTTTTTAAAGCAATCTCAGCTGTGGATCAGTAATCCCCGCTACTCAGGAGGCTGAGGGTAGAAGAATCATGAGTTCAAGGCCAGCAATATAGTGAGACCCTATCTCAAAAAGAAATCTTGGCTTTTGGCTATTTTGATTTTTTTAATGCCATCATCTTTACCTAGTAATGTCATTGGCAGAACATGCTGAGAGACAATAAGAGCTCGTGATAAGCATTTGACCAATGGTAAGCAGTGCACACACTGCATGTTATTTATAAAATCAAAGGCAGTGCTTTTCTCAAACTCCAAAATTTGTACTTACTTTTAGAGTTAACAGATTTATGATATTATAGATTAAATTACTTATGTATGAAACAAAGTAGGAAAATATGTTGAGAAAGGGTTACGTTTACAGAGGACTGCTTTATTGTGTCACATTTTTTAAATGCAAACATATTTTTAATACTAAAGTAGTATTTAAGAAACTAGTGATATAATTAAAGTATCATGCATGCTGTCAATGACCAAAAAAAAGATAAAATATTAAAAAAAATAAATATAGGGTTATAGCAAGGAAATAAGTAAAAAGGCTTTTGGTAGCCAATACTACACCAGGCCCAAATAACAAAAGACAGATCTTATTTTACAGTTAGTCAAACACAGCAGCAGAAAAAAACTTACCAGAATTACAGGATACCTGTTGCGGGGGTGGGGGTGGTGGCTGATGTGTTAACGTCTGGTGCTGATGGTTTGGATGGTGCTGCATATGCTGATGTGGCGAGGGGTGCTGGGAGTGAGGGGGCTGGAGCTGGCTGTGTGGCTGCGGGTGCGGTGCTGGATGCTGGGGACGCTGTGGGTGCTGCGGTAAACCATGCGGTCTAAGAGGCGTATGTGGAGATGGTTGTGTGTGCATCTGGGGGTGGGACAGGGAGACTTGTGCAACCGAATTACTGCCTGTGGCACTGAGGCCGCTGTGACTGTTGGGCAGGCTGCTTTGGTTGCTATGTGGGTGAGAGCTCACTGTACTGCTAGGAGAGTGCTGATAGGAACATGAAGTGTGGGACTGCTGAGAGGATTCTGAAGGGATGTTCATCAAACCTAAAAACAGACGGTAAGATCATTTATAGCTAGATCTCAGTTCTATTTTATGACATTTACAATATTATTTACAGAGTAAGGCATATGAGGGATGTAACACTGGTTCATTTTAATAAGCATTTATGGAACAATTACTATACACAGGGCTAGAGTTACTGAGAAGATTCAGAAACAATATCTCTTGCCCTTAGGCAGTAAATGCAAGGTCTACTGAAACAGACAGATGTGAAACAAAATTATATCCAACAATATGGATACCAAGGCCAAAGTATACAAGGTTTACAGAAGCTTTGATTTTTGTCTGTTTAGCTAGGAAGTGAGTGGGAATTTTTCTTTAAGTGCCTTCCTTGATATAACAGTATCTGAGAGCTGAGCTGAGTCTTGAAGAAAGCTGAGTAAATGTCAAGAAAAAGTGCAAAAGTGGTGGGTCATATTCAGCATGGTTCACTCTAGGCATGGAGCCCAGTGATTGAAGAGGAGAGACAAAACATAGTCCGCCCAGTCATTTCTGGTCTCTCTTCTCCAGCTATTCTAATAACTAAATTCAAACTGGCTAGAATCCCTGAGACTAAGCAAAACCAAACAGCCATCTCCACTATTCATCATTCGTACAGAAGATTCTTGAGACACACTTCGAGAGCACGCACTTTATATTATCAGAAAGTAAAAGGATTAAAGCTTCAGCATGACCACTTACACACTCAACTTTGTCAAGTTATTTAATTTCTCAGAGTCACAATTATTTCACTTCAAAGTGAGCACAAGAACAGAACCTGCTTCACAGATGGAAGATTAAATGTCATTGAACAAGTCTAGTAAATGGAAGCTGCTATGAGGACCAGCAGGTCAGAAATGCCTAATGTTAAAAATGCTGGAGAGATGACTCAGCGGTTAAGAGCACTGGCTGTTCGTGCAGAAGACCTGGGTTTGAATCCCAGCACCCAGAGGCTAAAAACCGTCCATAACTCCAGTTCCAGGGGATCTAAAGCTCTCTTCAGACCTCCACAAGCATTGCACAACACAGGTGCATTTATAGTCATGCAGGGAATAATATACATTAAATAAAAATAATTTTTTTAAATATCAAGTTGGTTTTATAGGTGGTTAGTAAATCTTCCTGCAACATTCGGCTCTATGTAACTATAACACTTTCATATCCCCAAAGACTGATCTGTACAATGTTTTGTTGTATCAAGTATAAAGATTATGTTTAAAAAATCCCACAAGATAAACGTTTTAACAAAGGAGAATGAGAGAGTGGAACCTGACTTGGCTCTGGAAAACCGTCATTTATTGGCAATTTTTATAGGAAAATGAAAGAAATCATTAATTCCATTATTTATTTCTAATAAAATTCTAGGGTTTTACAAGGGAACTGATTGATGATCATTTAGATGTTGTCTCACTTGTTACCCAAGCTAAAGAACCCAGACTAGAATTTCTAGTAATATGAGGAAATGGAATTATGGGCTTCAGAAATTGTCAGCATTGTTATTTCAAAGTTATTATTTTCCACTATGAACATAAGGTTGGATTTGCTCAGACAAGTACTTATATGCTTTCTACTGGGCGTGGTGGCGCATGCCTTTAGTCCCAGCATTCGGGAGGCAGAAGCAAAGGCAGGTGAATCTCTGTGAGTTCAAGGCCAGCCTGGTCTACATAGTGAGTTCCAGGACAGCTAGGGCTACAGGGAGACCCTGTCTCAAAAAAAAAAAAAAAAAAAAAAAAAAAAAATCTAAGACACACTGTCATCAGTGAAGCTCCCTCATATAACAGAGGGCCAGGAACATAAAAGGTCACAAATGACCAAAGCACAGAGATTCAGAGTCTGCAGAATGCTGGTTCTTGGACAGGACTCCTATATTAAACTCCACCCACCCACGGCTCAGGAACCATTGCGGAAGAGGGGGTGGAAAGATTTTTAAGAGCCATGGAGGAGGTACATGATCATACGGAAATAGAGTCTAACAGGCTCCTGAAACCTTGCTCATATGAACCTACAGCAATGGTGTCAGCATGCACAAGATCCATGCAAATTCAAGCAGACAAAACCCCATACAGAACTGTGGAAAGGGGCAGCAGGCCCCAATCTTAGTCAAAGAACTGCTGGCAGCTGTATACTAAAAGAAAGAACTGCTGGCAGCTGTATACTAAAAGAACGAACTGCTGGCAGCTGTATACTAAAAGAACGAACTGCTGGCAGCTGTATACTACTGGGTAAGGAAAAGCTCATCTTCTAAAAGGGAGGGACTCCAGGTAGGCTGACTAGATCTCAGGAGATGAAATTGCACTGGGGGATGTCTTGGAGCTGTATACTAAAAGAACGAACTGCTGGCAGCTGTATACTACTGGGTAAGGAAAAGCTCATCTTCTAAAAGGGAGGGACTCCAGGTAGGCTGACTAGATCTCAGGAGATGAAATTGCACTGGGGGATGTCTTGGAGCTGTATACTAAAAGAACGAACTGCTGGCAGCTGTATACTACTGGGTAAGGAAAAGCTCATCTTCTAAAAGGGAGGGACTCCAGGTAGGCTGACTAGATCTCAGGAGATGAAATTGCACTGGGGGATGTCTTGGAGCTGTATACTAAAAGAACGAACTGCTGGCAGCTGTATACTACTGGGTAAGGAAAAGCTCATCTTCTAAAAGGGAGGGACTCCAGGTAGGCTGACTAGATCTCAGGAGATGAAATTGCACTGGGGGATGTCTTGGAGCTGTATACTAAAAGAACGAACTGCTGGCAGCTGTATACTACTGGGTAAGGAAAAGCTCATCTTCTAAAAGGGAGGGACTCCAGGTAGGCTGACTAGATCTCAGGAGATGAAATTGCACTGGGGGATGTCTTGGAGCTGTATACTAAAAGAACGAACTGCTGGCAGCTGTATACTACTGGGTAAGGAAAAGCTCATCTTCTAAAAGGGAGGGACTCCAGGTAGGCTGACTAGATCTCAGGAGATGAAATTGCACTGGGGGATGTCTTGGAGCTGTATACTAAAAGAACGAACTGCTGGCAGCTGTATACTACTGGGTAAGGAAAAGCTCATCTTCTAAAAGGGAGGGACTCCAGGTAGGCTGACTAGATCTCAGGAGATGAAATTGCACTGGGGGATGTCTTGGAGCTGTATACTAAAAGAACGAACTGCTGGCAGCTGTATACTACTGGGTAAGGAAAAGCTCATCTTCTAAAAGGGAGGGACTCCAGGTAGGCTGACTAGATCTCAGGAGATGAAATTGCACTGGGGGATGTCTTGGAGCTGTATACTAAAAGAACGAACTGCTGGCAGCTGTATACTACTGGGTAAGGAAAAGCTCATCTTCTAAAAGGGAGGGACTCCAGGTAGGCTGACTAGATCTCAGGAGATGAAATTGCACTGGGGGATGTCTTGGAGCTGTATACTAAAAGAACGAACTGCTGGCAGCTGTATACTACTGGGTAAGGAAAAGCTCATCTTCTAAAAGGGAGGGACTCCAGGTAGGCTGACTAGATCTCAGGAGATGAAATTGCACTGGGGGATGTCTTGGAGCTGTATACTAAAAGAACGAACTGCTGGCAGCTGTATACTACTGGGTAAGGAAAAGCTCATCTTCTAAAAGGGAGGGACTCCAGGTAGGCTGACTAGATCTCAGGAGATGAAATTGCACTGGGGGATGTCTTGGAGCTGTATACTAAAAGAACGAACTGCTGGCAGCTGTATACTACTGGGTAAGGAAAAGCTCATCTTCTAAAAGGGAGGGACTCCAGGTAGGCTGACTAGATCTCAGGAGATGAAATTGCACTGGGGGATGTCTTGGAGCTGTATACTAAAAGAACGAACTGCTGGCAGCTGTATACTACTGGGTAAGGAAAAGCTCATCTTCTAAAAGGGAGGGACTCCAGGTAGGCTGACTAGATCTCAGGAGATGAAATTGCACTGGGGGATGTCTTGGAGCTGTATACTAAAAGAACGAACTGCTGGCAGCTGTATACTACTGGGTAAGGAAAAGCTCATCTTCTAAAAGGGAGGGACTCCAGGTAGGCTGACTAGATCTCAGGAGATGAAATTGCACTGGGGGATGTCTTGGAGCTGTATACTAAAAGAACGAACTGCTGGCAGCTGTATACTACTGGGTAAGGAAAAGCTCATCTTCTAAAAGGGAGGGACTCCAGGTAGGCTGACTAGATCTCAGGAGATGAAATTGCACTGGGGGATGTCTTGGAGCTGTATACTAAAAGAACGAACTGCTGGCAGCTGTATACTACTGGGTAAGGAAAAGCTCATCTTCTAAAAGGGAGGGACTCCAGGTAGGCTGACTAGATCTCAGGAGATGAAATTGCACTGGGGGATGTCTTGGAGCTGTATACTAAAAGAACGAACTGCTGGCAGCTGTATACTACTGGGTAAGGAAAAGCTCATCTTCTAAAAGGGAGGGACTCCAGGTAGGCTGACTAGATCTCAGGAGATGAAATTGCACTGGGGGATGTCTTGGAGCTGTATACTAAAAGAACGAACTGCTGGCAGCTGTATACTACTGGGTAAGGAAAAGCTCATCTTCTAAAAGGGAGGGACTCCAGGTAGGCTGACTAGATCTCAGGAGATGAAATTGCACTGGGGGATGTCTTGGAGCTGTATACTAAAAGAACGAACTGCTGGCAGCTGTATACTAAAAGAACTGCTGGCAGCTGTATACTACTGGGTAAGGAAAAGCTCATCTTCTAAAAGGGAGGGACTCCAGGTAGGCTGACTAGATCTCAGGAGATGAAATTGCACTGGGGGATGTCTTGGGACACTATCTTGACTCAATAGGCCTTAACACAAATGACAGAATCCATGAATTGGGGTGGGTACCAGTGATTAAAATGTTCTGTATGAAATACACAAAAATTCAATAAAAATTTTTCAAAGACAAAATTTTTTTAAACCCACAAATTGTCTCAAAAATTGCTAACCAAAAAAGGTCTGAGTATAAGTATTAATAATCACATACTCATCAATACTTAAAATTAGTATGTAACATTAGTTCTTAACAGGTAATGATAAACATTAAAAGTAACTATATACAGAAGGTATTTTTTAAATTTTAATTTATTGTTACTGTGTGTATGTATGTTTGGTGTAAGCAGGTGTATGTGTGTGCACACATACAAGTGCATGCCACTGTACACATATGGAGGTCAAAAGACAACTTTTGGTGGTCAGGTCTCTCCTTACAATGTGGGCTCCAGAGATCAAACTCAGGTTAGCAGGCTGTGGCACAAACATTTTTATCCACTGAGCCCTCTTATTAGCCCAAGGACAGGAGTTTTTGCATGTTACTACTGTTATGAGTTGGAGTGCTAAGGTTTGAATGCATGTTTCCCTCAAAATTCATATGGTAGGGAACTAGAGAGATGGCTCAATGGTTAAGAGCATTTGCTGCTCTTGCAGAAGACCCAATTTGGTTCCTTGCATTCACATGGCAGCAAACAACTGCCTGTAACTTTAGTTTCAGAGTATATGAATGCCTCTTCTGGCCTCCACAAGTACCTGACACACATGTGATGCACACACATACATGCAGGCATTCACATATACACATAAAAAAAAAAACAAATCTTTTTTTTAAAATTCCTATGTTAGAACTTAATCCCACAGTAACAGATGGTATTGGGATGTGGGGCCTTTGAGAGGTGATTAGGGATTAGTGCCCTTATCCAAGGCTCAAAGCAACAGGTCAGTTCTATTTGCCCTTCTACCTTTTCTGACATATGACAATAATGTTTGCAGTATTTGAAAACAGCTAGATAGCAATAGGAAAGGAATAAAATATGAAATAGAAATAGTTAACTTGACAAACTCCTGGGAATTGTCCTCTGATTTCTCTGCATGTGCCTGTACTTGTATACACACACACAGAAAAATAAAATTCAATTTTTATTTTTACGTTTGAGTGTTTTATTTGCATCTATGTCAGTACAACACATGCATGCAATGCCCATGGAGGCCAGAAGAGGGCATCGGATTCCTTGGAACTGGAGTTACAGACAGTTGTTAGCTGTCATGTGGGTGCTGGGAACCCAACTGGGTCTTCTGCAAGAGCTTCTGCACTGAGCTATCTTTCCAGCCCCATAAAGAAAGAAATTTTTTTGTTAGCTGTCATGTGGGTGCTGGGAACCCAACTGGGTCTTCTGCAAGAGCAGCCAGTGCTTAAGTGTCATAAACAAAACCACAAACTTGGTGCTCTTCTGCTTCAGAGGCTACCTTCTTGTTAATGCTAGTCAGAACACACAGCCCATCCATTCTGGTGAAGCAATACCCATCACCAGAACACTTCACATGACAAACATCAGTAATTAACCGTGGCAGTCCTTCCCACACGGCACAGATGCAGTGTCAGAATTCTTCAGCAAAGTGCTACAGGATGCCCTGGTAATCAAGTAAAATAGGCATGCAGGTAGAAATTATTCTGCCATTCCTGTGCCATGATGTTAATATATACAGAGTATATAAAGGCACAAAGGGGCATAATATATCACCCAAACCTCATCATGACTGTTCTAAAATTAAGTATAACAGCTGCTGTGTGAAATTAAACATTTATGTTACAAAAAGAACATTTAAAAAGTAGCTTACCTTGTTGACTAAGTGACTGCTCAAAAACTGACTTATAAAGACTCCGAAATGAGGCACTAAGATCTTCAAAATTGTATTCTGTGAAAAGCAGTTGTTTATCTCGTTCTGGAAGGTTATACTGTGATTGCTGCTGGGGCGTTAATGATTGAGAAACAGGTTCTGGGTGGTTTGTCACCTAAGAAAAGGAAACATAATGAATTCAGTGGCTCAATACTGCAACTGGTTTATTAAGTAACAACAAGAACTCATGCCAACACTGGAATCTAAGGCAATTAACCTGTTTGTGGCTTTTCTGTCCCCTTGCTGGGTACAACTGTATGTATGTATACATGGAGAAAAATTATTAATAGGGATCTTGAAGAACCAAAGAAATCCAATTCAACCTCCATAGTCACAGAAGAGGGAAAGAGCTCAAAGAAATTGAATGACTTGTGAAGATGATACAGCTCCGTGATGAGTCAGGACCACAATTCTTCCAGTTTCTTCACCATGATTTCTACAGAATTTCCTTTCTAACTGCATTACACTATTAAGCTAACATTTCTTTCATTAATTTAGCTAATCTTTAAGTATACATGTTTGAATACTGTATTTGATGTAGAGCACTCCTCAGAACAGTATTCTTCATTTCTAGGGAGGAGCGAGGAGGCTGGTTGAAGAGAAATGAGAAACAAAGAGGCAGAAATGAAGGAGACTGGGATTACAGCTCAGTGGTGGAATGCTTGCCCTATATATCAAAGGCCCTGGGTGCAATCCTAGGACCAACTCTTGTTCCCTAAAAATTACCACCCCCAGAACAAGTAAACCCAAAAGAGAGCTTGAGACGGAGCTTGAGAAAAGCACATGGCAGAAAATACCACCAATACCTCAAAGGTTTAGAATGATCATGTGTGTGTGTGTGTTCATGCAGGTGTGTGCCTATCACAACATGTGTGCAAGCATGAGGATTAGAGTTTGAACCTCTAGAATCCAAACAAAGCTGGATGCACTAGCAGATACCTGTAATCCCAGTTAGACAGGAAGATCTCCAGAAGATCTTGTGCTGAAGGCCTGCCAGAAAGAACCACTTAATCTTCAAAAGCACCACAAGGTGAAATAAGATTAATTTTTAAAAATATTGTTTTTTTTTTTTTTAATTTTATATGTGCACCTCTGTTGTGCAATGCTCACAGAGGTCAGAAGAGGGCATCAGATCCCCTGGAACTGGAGGTAAGGATGGTTGTTAGCCACCCTGTGGGTACTGGGAATTGAACCTCTGTCTTCTGTAAAAGCAGTTATTGCTCTAAACCGCTGAACCATCTCTCCAGTAGGGCATGGTGGTGCATGCCTTTAATCCCAGCACTCAGGAGGCAGAGGCAGGTGGATCTCTGTGAGTTCAAGGCCAGCCTGGTCTACATAGTGAGTTCCAGGTCAGCTGGGGCTACAGGGAGATGCTGTCTCAAAAAGACCAAAAAAAAAAAAAAAAAAAAAAAAAGATTGTTTGTGGGGGTGAGGGGTGAGGGAAAGTATGACTTACATATGATCACTAGATGGGCTGACTAGACTCCAGTGGACGAATTTACACAGAAGGTCATTTGTGGCGGAATACAAGAGGTCCAATGGGGGTACGGAAGAGGCACGGATCAGGGAGGGAGTATAAATTTGATTAAGAACTGTTGTATGAAATTACAAAAGCTCAATTAAAAAATAATTTTTTTTTAATTGTGGTGCTGGGGATTGAACCCAAGGCCTTCCACGTGCCAGGAAAACATGCTACCTCTGACTGATCAGCTCTATTTCTGAAAGTGATTACATCAAAAAGCTACAATTTGTTTAGTTCTGATATTTAAGGTATGTAAACTCAATGACAATTTAAAGTCCTTCAAAATGCTCATAAGGCACATGTCAAAACAGGGAAAAATATTAACTTTGTGTAGGGGAATACCTCCACCACTGGCATCCTGGTCACCTTACATGCAACAAAAATCATACAAGAGCTAGATGGCAGGCTGACCTACATATTGGTAGAGCACAGGGTGAGAAGCGGCTTGGCGAAGGTTAAGTTCTCATCTGCCCTATCTTGTGAGGCAACCACAGGGCAGCTTTTCACCCACCTTTCTCATCTGTCTCCCTGGTTCAGGTAGGCATGGGTCATTCTTACTCCCAAAATGGCCACTGCTGCATGTCATTAACTGCTTAGCTGCAGTATACAATTTATTCCTCCACTAGATTATTATTATTATTATTATTATTATTATTATTATTATATTATTCACAGTCTGTCACATGGATACATGATGTGTTGGAGGGTTCATGTGCTACATAGTGTGCATGTAAGAGTCAGAGAACAACTTGAGGGAATCACTTCTTCCACCATGTAAGTTGCAGAGCTTGAACTCAGGTCCCCAGGTTCACATGGCAAGTGCCTTTCCCTGCTAAGCCATCTCACTGGTTTACCTTCTTTTAAAGAAGAGTTTCGTTTGTTCATTTACTTTTACTGTGTGTGTATATGTTGTGCGGGTGTGTATGGGTAATATCACATTGAGCTTTTCCATGGGCTCTGGTCTTTATGCTTGAACTTCACCATTGGAGCCATCTCCCCAGCCCATTTCTTTTATTTTTGGTTTTGCCTTCTCTTTTTCACCCCTTTGGAGAGATGCCCTTATGAAAGAGACTGTGCTCTTAACATTCTGGTCACTTTTGTTTCTCCTAGCTCTGAGTCTTCCCCGTTGTTAGCCAGCTGACCCTAGGAAGCTGTTTTCCCTCATGTTCTCTTGCCAGACAAGATAGTTAGTAATGCAGATGCTCCTGAGGCTGGGAAGATCAACAGGAGTTCCAGACCAGTCTGGGTCAGAGTAGAGTCTTTCACAGTAGCACTTAAGAGGCTAAGGCAGGGGGCTGGAGAGATGGCTCAGAG